GTTTGACACAGACCACAAAATAGGAAGTGATATCACCAATGCGGAAATTCATCTGTGTTTCCACTTCCGTAAAAGGAACAGAATGCTGTTGCCCCAGATTTCATGACTATGTGGTGTCAATAACCACATCTAACCTCAGGCCTTGTCCCTACCCAAGGCACAAAAACACTTATTGCTTTGATTAACAAGATCAGCTATTCTATTCAGGACAAGTCTCCTTAGCAAAATTTAAAACATGTCAGCCTTCTTAACTAAACCACTATTTGCATTACAAATAGGGGGAGGGGAGAGGCCAAAAAAAAAAAAAAAAATCAGTTAGGAACCAGGGCTCTCCCTAGCTAGAGGTTGGTAGTGGCTGAAAGTAGATGCCGCTGGTGGCCTATGTGAAAACAGGTGGGAGTTAGCCCATTTCTTAGTGAGAGATGTCCATACAAACTGATCATCACCAAGGACTAGCTAGACCAAGAAAGTCCCCCTTCACCCTCTAGGGGGATTATCTCTCTAGTCCCAGGAAGAAAGCACAAAGGGCAGAAGGCTTTCACTGCTGTCAGGCCTATGCCTGCCATATGGATCCAGGATACTTTGGTTATATGGAGTTATAGATCCAGACTTTTTCAACAGCATTATGCTTAAACAAGACATTCTTGCCCTCCAAGCCATAGCTGAGGACAGCCAAGCCCTTTTAAAGGCAAATAGTGATTTCACTGGACAATCAATGGATGCAATGTTTTAGCCAACGGGTTTGAGCTTTAACATCCAATTAGCTAACACACCTGTGCATATATAAACCCACACTAGTGGCTGATTCTGCCTATCACTGTTAGCAATAGAGGGTGTTAAAGAAATTATAAGGCCAAGGATTTCATTTTCTTCTAGGATAAAAGCTCACTGAAGCCAGCAAGCACCACATGTTGTCTAAGGATCTTGTGCTAGGCTCACAATTCCCTCAAAATAGGGAGCTACCCTAGTACATGTAATGCCTGAATTTCCCTGTACAGACCCAGAAATAAAACTGAACTCCTGAGAGCACCCTGGCCTCTAATCCTATCCACCTGAGCTCCACAACTACTTTACCAAGAGCATCCAAGACTAGCATCACAGCCAGAAGGGAGGCTTCTAGACATACAGCAAACCCACATGAATCCAGCAAAGCTGTCCAGCACACACCAAGCCAGCTGTTTTCATTTTCCTACCCTTCCAGAAAGGCTCCTTGGAACATTATAGCAAGAATGCATTATACAAGGAAAGAACAGTCAGAGATCGAGAGGATAAGCTTCAAAACAGTTTTTAAGCATGTGAGCAAACAGTATGTGTGGTAGTAAACAGAAGGCGAGACGATCTCCTTAGAATCAGCTCTGAATGCAGGGCATGCAGGCTTCTCCACTGTTCTTCCAATTCAGCTCCTATCTCCCCCACCAGAGCACTTTCAATGCACCTCAGACCTGCCTTTCATCACCTTTTGCTCTGTTCCAGTCTTGCACCTCTGAGTTTGTGTGATTTGGCTATGTACAGAACAGTGTGCCTTGGGAAACCGGTGTGTGCGTGTGCGTGTGAAATGAACACAGAATGAACCACACATTCATCTTTGTGCCCAATCTGAACTGGAAAGAGAACATGAAAAAACAACTCTGCATCAGTTCTAATCCCGTGCTTCCCTATAAATAGTCAAGTCACAACATACAGCTTCTTTGGGGTGCTGAAGGACGCTACAATACCACAGGAACATCAATGTTCCATTAGCAGGGATTGGAATTTAGGGCCCTGGGACCTGTTCCCAGTTCTGCCACCATCTCACCACGGGATCTTGGCGACATCACTGTGCTTCAAGTTTCTCCATCAATAAATTTAAGACAGTGTTTCCTTGCCACTGAGGGGGGCACAGAGAAAGTTTAGTGTCTCAGATGCTTCAAGTGCCTCAAGCAGAACACACCAGAGAGGGCTAAGTATTATTGTAGCCACATGCTGTCCTGCTCCAACTGATGAATGAGAAGCACAGAAAGGATCTGAGAGCCTCCCTGCCAACTGGACTCACTAAGGTGCTCAGTGACACTTCATCCTATCAACAGGAAAAACTACAAGCAAACCAAGAGACAAAGGGACTAAACAAGCATGAAAAGCTTCTGTCCTGCTATTAAGGCACCCATGGAATTTGAGATATTCAGACATGATCAAACATGAGTACTAAATCTTTGGGAAACCCAAAGACTCCTTCCTGGTGCAGAAAGATGGTCCTGTGGGTAGGACACAAGCCTGGGATTCTGAAGACCAGAGTTCAAGTCCCTGTTCTCTCTCTCTGTGTGTGTAAAATAGGGATAACAGCCTTACCACACTGAGGGATTGGAAGGGAAAGACACATTTAAGATTATGAAGTGTCTGGATACTATGATTAATGAGGGCCATATAAGCATTTGAGATAGAATGCCTTGAGACCCACCCCACCCCAAAAAACCCCACTTATGGCATTAGCCCCAATTCTGTAAGGGAGGGCTTTGTAAGATAAATAATATGGGGGCAGAGAGGGGAGTGAATAGATGCATTGCTAACTGACAAAGAGTGCTGCCAATGAACACAGGAAAAAAAATATCCTGCTGCACCCAGCACCCCTGAGAGCAGACTGCTGGGGGATTTTCCTTAACTGGAGACATTTCAATGTCACTTACTGAGCCAGAGAGAAAAGGGGATTCGTTTCTTAAAGAAAAGGCTGCTACATTACCAGGACTCTTTGGGGGAGGGAGAGGGGGGCCTGGGCTGGGGGCAGGGGTATTGATGGACTCCACCCAGCAGTTTTGACCCTCCCTAGAGTCACAGTTCCTTCCCTGCAAGAACAAAGGAGGAGGAAAATTAGATAACAGTTTTAAGATTTCATCTGCCCAAGGTAGATCTAGTCTGTGCGCGCGCACACGCACACTCCACAGGAGAAAATCTTAGAAAAGCATCACTGAAAAGATTTACAGCACATAACCCTGGGGCCAGAATTATCCCTCCTCCCAAGGAAAGGCCTGCACGCCCAAAATACTCTCTGCTTCCAAAACATATATAAGCAACTTCCCTTACTCTAAACACAAATGAAATTATGATGCAGGAAAAGAGAGCAGGATACTAGTTGCAACACCGGCCACCCCTTACTCCAATATTAAATACCTGTCTAAAGAGAGAGACATTCTCTATCCTGCTCCATGTGCCAACTAGAAGATTGGCACAGAAAGGTCACTTGTTTTGTTGGGGTGTGGAAAGAGGCTGAGGGGTCAAGGTTACACGGTTCACTCAAAGCCCAGATACTTCAAAGGTATACTTCAGGACTTAGACTTCAGGACTTAGACCTCAGTACGTGTATCAGCAGCACAAGACTGATCATAGGAAAAGGGTTTTGCAATTAGCTTTGGGTGTGGGAAGTACTTCTTTCACAGTAATAGCACCACTCAAGGCCACCCAGAGACAAGTCATTCCTAATCTACTTGTAGAAGTGTTTTTGTGTTCTTTCCCCAGCTGTCAGAGCACTTCCTCTGGGCTCCCTGGCTGTGAAAGGCTACTAAAGCCAATCATACAAATGGTTCAAACCAGCTACCCTCTTTCACAAACCCTTTATATCCAGATATGGAAGGAGTGGGGGGAAGAATAATATGTGGGGTACTAAATAGAACACCAGCCATCACTGAAACCCACAGACCCTTTCCAAACCATCCTCTAACCATTCAAAATAGAACACCCTCTTTTCTTTCTCTACTGCATCCAAGACCAAACCTCAGGTGGAGGCTGGGGGGGGAGGGAACACCATACAGGTACTTAGATATAGAATATGGATCTGTACATTTCCAGAAACTAGACTGCTTACTGTTTCTCTCACCACAAAAGTTTCCCCAGATCTCTGGCCACAATAATCTTAAGTCTAACATAAGACATCAGAAGGTCTTCACAGCAAAGTGAGAGAAAGAGAAGAGAAAGTATGTTTTTAACATATTTAGTAGACAGTGCAGACTTCCTATAATAATTGTAAACAGCAGCACAGACTGTTTCTCTGCCCCAGTTTGTTGCAATTAAATACTACACTAATTCCAGGCTTTTTGTATTTGAATGGAGGCATTAATTCTACAGATGACAACTCAGGACTAGAAACTAGCTGCATGTCCTAGTTCCCAATGAGCTGGCTACAGAAGTACATTTTTAGCAGTATCTAAAAGCCTCAAACCTCCACACACTTCCAAGAGACTGAACGCAAGAGCTCAAGGAAAGTTACAGAGAAACAATTATTTAAAAAAAAATACAATCTGTTAGACTGAGTTCCTAAAGTAACTGCTTCAAAATAAGTTTGCTTAAAGCCTCTCTTAAAGTTTGCCTTCTTCCCCATTACGTGTTAAAATAAGCCAAGGCTTAGGTGGAGAGTGCTGACCAGGTTTTGATTGCAAGTCTTAGCCTCTGCTAAGTGTGGCAGTCATTCCACACCCATTTCAAGTTGTTGATTATAATTTAGAACCCGTGAAAAATATCCTTTCCCCCTCTCCCCCCGCTCAAGCCTTTTTTAACTCCACCTAAAGATTAAGAGGTTATAACTCAACATGGATTCTCTTTAGAAGGCTAAGAGGAGAAAGGCCCGCACCCAACTGCACCTGGGGGAAAAAATGGGATCCACCCAAGCAGAAAGTGTGGATTTTAGACATGGAAAGAATGGACCGCAACACTCCCAACAAGAACACCACTTAATAAAAAACACTTGATCAACTCCACAACCTTCCTACTGCAGCTCAGTTTTCCCAAAGTTTTAAAGAAAACATATTAAAGGGTGCAAATAAAACCAAGAGCCCACTTCGCAAACTGGATCACATTCCTCCCCCAGCCTGCTCAGAAGACACCACAAAAAACAACAGCTCCCCAGCAATTCAACCCAGGCAGAGTTGTTAGCTTGCAGTACAAAAGGAGCAAAAATCCAAAGTGAACAACAGGCGTTAAAACAAGAGATGAGATTTTTTTTTTAAAGCAACAAAAAAAACCAACATGATTCTTACCCTGGCTTTCTCCCTTCTCAGGGGCTGCGCTGGCGAAATCCAGGAGTTTGTTTCTCCACCTTGTGAGGTTTTTTTTTTTTTTTTTTTGAGTACCAGGGGGGGAAGAAATAAAAGCAAAATAAATTTTAAAAGTTGTCAGTGCGGCTGTTCCTCTGCCTTATAACTTCCCTTCTAATCTCTCAGGGTGACAATATGCCAGTCTCCAACAAAAATTCCCCTTGGGCGAGAGCTTTTTTTTGGGGAGGGGGGGTCGCTTTGCAAACACACAAAACTCTATGGTGGACTTCTCCAACAAATCTCTAAAGGAAACGCAAGAAGCAAAACCCGGCCAAAATGTGTTTTAAAAAAAGAAAACCAATAAATGTAGTGATTTTTTCTCCACCTCTTTCTCTTCTGGGATCCTTCCTGGCTTTTCCCCCCTCGCCTCCTCTTTCAGATCCAACACCTAAAATGGAAGTTGCACCCGACCCAGCCAAAGACAAGCTGACGGGGGTGATGGTAACAAACTGAGCTTTCCAAGCCCAACGCCCACTCCCTCTTTCCCCCAACTACGAAGCAGGCATCAATAAGGGACCCGGCATTATCCAATAGGAAACTTTATTATAGGGAATAGAAAAAAGAAAAGAAAAAGGGAGCAAAACCAACAAAAGGAGGAGGGCAGAAAATAACTTTTGGGGGTGGGGGAGGAAAGAAAATAAAAATATATTACAAAAATCAGTTGCAAGGAAGGAGGTTAAAACAGGCTTGGCATGATGATAAATGTGTTGATATGATCTGCAATACACAGTCCAGTCTCTTTTTATCGTTTGTGTTTCTTTCTCCCACTCATCTCCTCTGCCTGTTTGCAAATGAGAATAAATAACTTCATTTTTATATATCGCCTGTGCTATTTATGTGTAAATATATTTTCATCTTTGTAAGTATCACCTGAAAAGGAGGGAAAACAATGGTACAAAAAGATGGGTGGGAAGGTGTTTGGATCTGGGGAGAACTGAGGATTTAAAATTCAACCTTGAGTCTATTGTTTTTGTTTTAATTATGTGAGCCTAGATTGTGTGATCAGCTCTTGTTTGGCTTTTGCTGGTGGCAATTAAGAAACTGAATTTAAAAATCTAGAGTGGATAAGGAATTTACTTCACTCCTTTTCCTTTCATATCAGTGAAGAAAATAGCTATTTTACTTTGCATTACTAATTTAATCCAATTCACAGTTTATAGATTCCAGACCATCAATTAAGAGAGAGACAGAGACAAAAGTTCTAACAAGTTTTCTTTCATCATAGCCCTAAAAGTTGTTTATTCTGATTATATTTGCAAATAAGTGTCAAGCTGGAAGGTACATAGTGCAATGTGGTGCACCAGATTAAGCGGGGGATTTGCTGGCAGGGGGGCATTACCTAGATATTTCTATAAAGTTTTTTGAAGAGTACAGGATCTTTTGAAAAAGGGTTTTATTTTCAAAAGATCCCTGTTTAAACACTTGTTTTTCTTTCAAAAAGCCCATTTAAAAAAAAAAAATGTGGCCGCCATTATGCAAATGAAGCGTGGGAAATTTAAATCCTGGCTTCATTTGCAATTTCGAAGTGTCTAACTTACATCCCTTTTTCGAGAAAAGGGATGTAATCTAGACACAGCTTCAGGGTGCAGTACAAGGAATGGAAGGGGAGAAAGAGGGTCAGGTTTCAGGAGTAACTATTAGTTTGGTGTGACAGCAGGTGCAATACTAGACCGAGCTGCTACCAAACACAAGCCCTTTAGCACTCGTTGTTGGCCTCTGTCTATGTTCAACAAAGATCTCTTCACTACAGCTCTGTCAGCCTGCTGCATCATATATCGCTTATGAAACATAGGCACATCAGTGTAGACTGGCCATCTGCTACTTTTTCTCCCCTGTTCTGTGCTTAGAGCGGGTCTAAAAGACACAGTGGTGAAATCAGTGATGAACTTGGCCTACATTAGAACATTCGCCCTGCCTTGTACTGAGAGCTCAGCAGATCCTTCCTCCCAGAATCCAACAGGACCAAGAGAGGTTGCCAGTACCAAGCACAATAGCGAAGTAGACAATATGCCACTTAAATCAACAGATGATGCAAAGGGGTCTGGTATTATTCCCATTGACTTCAAGCGGAGTAGGACTAGGCACTTAAGGGAGAGTGTTGTACACAGCTTTTAAAAATCTCAGAGGGGTAGCCATGTTAGTCTGTAAGGCTACGTCTACACTGCAATGCTATTTCGGGATACTGAAGTATCCTGAAATAGCTATCTCGCGTCTTCTCAGCAAGCCTATGCGGGCTCGCTATTTCGACGTTACTGTAAACCTCATTCTATGAGGCATAAAGGACATTTCGGAATAGCACTTTAATTTGAAATTTGGCACCAAATGACGAAATAAGCTATTTTGAAATAGCATCAAAATGAGATACGCAATTTGCATAGCCGAAATTGCGTATCTTATTTCGAGTTACAGTGCTGTGTAGGTGCACCCTAACTGAAAAAACTTTAAAAACAACGAATGGTCCTGCAGCGCTTTAGAGACTATCTACATTTTTTGTTAGTCTCTAAGGCTGCGTCTAGACTGGCATGATTTTGCGCAAATACTTTTAACGGAAAAAATTTTCCGTTAAAAGTATTTGTGCAAGAGAGCGTCTATACTGGCATGTGCCTTTGCGCAAAAGATTTGCTTTTGTGCAAAAGCATTCGTGCCAGTGTAGATGCTCTCTTGCGCAAGAAAGCTCCAATGGCCATTTCAGCAATCGGGCTTTCTTGCACAAGAAATTAACGTGGCTGTCTACACTGGCCCTCTTGCGCAAGAATACTTGCGCAAGAGGGCTTATCCCTGAGCAGGAGTGTCGGAGTATTTGCGCAAGAACTGTTGATTTTGTACATTACAAAGTCAGTGTTCTTGCGCAAATACTCGTGGCCAATGTAGACAGGTGGCAAGATTTTGTGCAAAAGCATTTGCTTTTGCGCAAAATCATGCCAATCTAGATGCATCCTAAGGGTTACTGCAGGATATTTCGTTGTTTTTTAAGTACACAGCATTGAGTGTAGAGAAATAATTCAAAGGGATCTAGAGAGTCAAGAGATGGGGTAGGAAATAACAACACGTTAGCTTTGAAAACTACAGCTAGTCCAGCTGAAGACACCTGTTTCCAAAGTCTAACACTTTGTGTGGGGGAGAAACCAAGGAAGCATTACTGCTTTCAGAGACTTAGGACTGGCAGCTACTGCTTAAAGTAGACAGGAGCTGGAAGCAAAAGAAACTGGAGTGATTGGAGGCTGAGCACTTCACCACACAAAACGGGAAGGTGACAGCTTTAACTGTGGGTCTGAGTGGAACCACATCTGGAATATTGGAACTAATTCTTGGATCCACAGCACAAAGGGGCTGTAATGCTGGATTAAATAGCTGCCTAGGAATTTCCCAAGTCCAGGGGGAAACCCAAGTGATGTAGAGTCTACATGGCTTAATTCACACCCTACCCCTACTCCCAGCTGGCCTCAGAATCTAGAAACCATAAAGATGACATAAACCCTCTTTGCTGCCCCCCGCCCCTACTCAGGTGAACGTGTTCAGTTCTGAGTACCATGTCACCAGAAAGTTATTGACAAGACAGAGGGAGATGAGGAATGAACAGCAGATTGATTTATGGGGAAAGATTAAAAGAGGTAAATATGTGTATAGCTTGGTCAAGCAAGGAGTACATGATAACAATAACAGCCTGCAAATATTTGAAGAGAGTAATCCCCAGTGAGGGAGAGAAAGAGGCTGGTACACAAGGGAGACAGCAAAGAGGAATGGGATGATATTTTAAAAAGGAAGCAGTTAGGACAATTATCTGGAAAAACCTCCCTACTGTGAGGTTTGATCTGCTGCAGATTCACAATGGGTACGTCTACACTGTGGCACTATTTCAGGATACTTCCAGTATCCTGAAATAGCTATTTTGCGTCTTGACAGCACGCCCATTATTTCAAAATTGCTTTTGAAATAATATTTTCAAATAGCTCACTATTCTGACATCCCTGTAAACCTCGTTCCATGAGGATTAAGAGACATTTTGGAATAGCGGTTTATTTCTAAATTTGACGTGAAGACAGTGTCAAATTACAAAATAAGCTATTTCAAAATACACTCGAAAAAAGCTACGCAATTTGTGGAACTCAAATTGCATAGCTTATTATGAGCACAAGTGCAGTGTAGACATACCCAAAGGTATTTAGGCACCTAACTTTCATGAGGATCTGTGCCTTCAAGCCTGTGAATTCCTCCCCATCCCACTAAAGAGGAGAGTTAAGAACATCCTTGTCCTCCTCCTTTTCTTCCAGCACTGAATCAAAGGGCCAACAAGAGGGACTGCAGCAGGAGCATGCAGGAAACAGCACTTCAGGGACTGCTCTAGTTCAGCTCTCCTATGCAGTGCTATCCACCCTGTCCATCTTCCTTGGCAGGAGGCTCCTTCACTTCACTTCCAATTTCTTATGCGGGGAGAAAGAGATAATAAATTATTCTCCCCCTCCAACCTGAATTATGGGTCCTACTCAAGGGCAGAGAGACCTTGCACCTCCAATTTACTCTAAATCCCTTGATGAGGGGGGTGAGAGTAAGTGTTCCTAGCCGCCGCCACCACTCCCCTCCCATGTCTCTAGAAGATGGAGATAGATGTGCCTTCATTTTCTTCCGACCTCCAATGTCACAGGGCTGTTACACAGGAGTTGTTGCTCTAGTTGGCCCTACCACTTTGTGACGATGTAAGACTGTCTGGGTGAAGCTTCCACCTGAGCAGGGATTCTCAACCCTTTTCTTTCGAGGCCACCCCATCATTTCATGGGTACGTCTAGACTACATGCCTCTGGCGACAGAGGCATGTAGATTAGATTACCTGGCATAGGAAAATGAAGCGGCGATTTAAATAATCGCCGCTTCATTTAAATTTACATGGCTGCCGTGCTGAGCCGATCAGCTGTTTGTCAGCTCAGCGCGGTAGTCTGGACGCTCCACGGTCGACATCAAAGGCATTTGTCGACCTCCCAGGTATGCCTCGGCTTCATTTAAATTTACATGGCTGCCGCGCTGAGCCGATCAGCTGTTTGTCAGCTCAGCGTGGTAGTCTGGACGCTCCGCGGTCGACATCAAAGGCATACCTG